TATGTAAAATGTTTATCGATTTAATCTTTTGATTGCATCATAGCAAATATCGCATGCCATACGACTGCAGTTACTCGGTGTCTGGAAGAAATGCCGGTTCTCCGAGATGTCAAACAGAACGGACTGTACCGCCGGTTGCACAAAAGAAACATCAAATGTTCGCCAAACGATATTTCCAAGAACAAGGCACTTGTTAGTATTTAGAAATAATCTCATGCAGTCTTTTCGAGCATAAGATGATACAGAGAATTTTGATTGTGAAACTACTTTTTAGGCTCACCTTTAGGAGCTACCGCACATCCGACTACTCCAATGAAATACGAATATGACACACATACAGTTGGTGCAGGGGCACCAGGGAACACATATTCTGGACCAATCGAGGGTGCAGCCGGGCCTCAACCTGAAATAAAATATAGTTGTAGTGTGGATTTCAGTCGTCATCAATCTGGTAAGAGAAGTTTATATCTAAACGTATTCAACATATTAAGAAGAATCTTTATAGACGATGAATATATCACTTTTTATATATTTTATCTAACCTGTAATATTTTACATAAATTTAACAAAAAAATTTTTTTTAGGACGATCTGCAATAGAACATGTTCATCATAATCACACTTATCATTTGCCTGCTGAAAGTTCAGGATCTCTTCAACGTCCAATTTCCCGCGATAAGAAAGGTAACTATGTTAATAATATTTTTAATAGTTTATTCCAATCTCTTTAAAAACTGTTAATAATTGTTAATAATGGTTAATAATATTAGAAAGAAAGAAAATAAGAGTATATCAAATGTTTATTTTTTATAATTTTAGCTCGCAAAAATGACAACGAAGAGCATTTAACGAGAGATGAGAAAAGAGCAAGAGCATTGAATGTGCCGATTTCAGTCAGTGATATCATCAACCTTCCCATGGACGAGTTTAATGAACGTCTCAGTAAATATGATCTCAGTGAGGCCCAACTATCCTTAATACGCGACATTAGAAGACGAGGGAAAAACAAGGTTGCTGCACAGAATTGTCGCAAACGCAAATTGGATCAAATCATAAGCTTAGCTGACGAAGTAAAAGAAATGCGAGATCGTAAGTTAAGGCTTATTCGCGAGCGTGAATTTATGCTCATTGAAAGACAGCGAGTGAAAGATAAATTTAGTCAACTTTATCGTCATGTTTTTCAGGTTGGTAATATCACTTCTTTCATATTAAATATATGTATCACTTCTTTCATATTAAATATACGTATAATCATTTTTAAAATAAAATTTGAATAATTATTTCATTATACATTATTTCTGATTTTGATAAAATGTTGTTAAAGATAATAAAAAAACCTATAGTATAGTTAATTATTTACAATTATATTTCAGTCTTTACGAGATTCAGATGGTAATCCATACCATCCATACGAATACAGTCTTCAACAGTCTGCAGATGGAAATGTTGTGTTAATTCGCAGAAGTCAGACGAATCCACACCAATCACGGCAGTCTTCAATGGAACCGAAGACTAAACCCGATCCTGAGCATAAGGAATGAAAGAATTGTATATCAATGTGATTGGTTATTGACTATTGTTCTCTTTGAACAGAGTACGTGCGTCCAAAGCGTAGTGAAGGCGAATACGGTGTTGGGGAATGAAGATCGTACACGTTATAAGAATTACTGCGCATAATTCTCGTCAAACAAAATTTATGATTTTACATATGGTTCGCACTCCAAATAAACAACGAAATTTGTCAACGCTACTAGCTTAATCGCGATTACGCAATTATTGACAAAATAATATACTTAGAGAATTAGGAGGAGAAATAGGATTTAATCCTATATTTAATCATCCTAGTGATGATTTTTGTGTGCAAAGGTGATACTACAGTTTTCAGTTATTTTGACCACTTATATGAATACATTTTCACAGATATCCAAAGATATATACATTTTCACTTGCATTTTTCTTTCTTTCATATTTTCACAATCAAAGATTTTTATATTGCAGCCTTGGGTATTCTGTATGTTTGTTTGTACATATTGTATCTTGTCTGTTGACTGTCTTAAATGAGGGAAGTAATGAATAATGAAATAAAACTGAAAACTTCATAAATTTCCTGTATTTTTGTTTTTATTTTTACTTAAACTATCAATAAAGAAATATAATATTTCAAGAATTTATATTGGCCTTATAGTAATACATAATATTATGTACTTTTGAAAAAATAATTGAGTTATATTATGCGAATTTTTTTTTGCAATTGCCTAAATAAATCACAGTATGTTTAGCGTAAAAGGAAGATTATAATACATAAATAATAAGATAAATTGATATACATAAATAATAAGAAACTAAAAAATATATATAATAAGATTATTACATATTATATTATGGAATCACTTATGAGAACTGTTGTGTCATATGATAATTGAAGCAACTCTAAATTTATGTCTTATTCCAGTTATTATTCTTCCTGCTTTATGCGTAAAATATGCTTGTTAACTTCTTAAAATGCATATACGTATGTGTAACTGATACATATGAAATGATACAGTATACATTAAAGAAACTCTTTTTATATTCATAAAAAAGGTTTTATTGTTTCGATGTAATTGTTTTATCTGCGTATGATATATATAAATTGAATTTATATACATACTCACACGCACACATATAAATATAACTCTCATAGATATAGGAGTGCGACGATTACGTTGAAACGTACCTATCCAGTGATTTCAATCGATTGATTGTGATTATTGTTAGTAGTATACTTAATTGCCAAATTATGAAATTCTTATAATTTGTCAAGAGCAAAATGCGATATTAAATATATCGTATGCATATTGATGCGAATAAAGTGAACGTTAATCATGCGCAATATGTATACTATTAAATAAACTTTGTTGTGTTATAAATTTAGAAAATACACATCGATTTGTGAAACGCTTATAATTCCAGGAGTGGTAGCGTCATGGATGTATAATGCAAAATTAGAACTGCATTTAATTGACGATTACAAAGTAGAGTGAAGCGATAAAAGGCAAATGATTGAGGCATTGGCAAACTTGTAACTAATTTCTGAACCGTTTTGTGTTCCATATAGAAAGCAGCTTAAAAACATTTCTTAAATTTCACTTTATTCAGATAAATTATGAGCAAAACATACTGTAATATGTATATTACAAATAATATAGTAAATATAATACAAGTATGTGAATACATTTTACTGCGATACATTGTAATGCTATGATATTAATAGCATTCCTTGAAATACGAACAAACATGATAAAAACACATATTTTTATAAAATAAAAAAAATGAGAAATGTTCAGGTATTTCACATTTGCCTTTTTATGTATATATTAATGTAGCTAGTATAATTTTCTATAAATATTATATATATAAATATATAAATATATATAAAAATATATGAAATATATGAATGTATGTATTTATGTATATGTATCTGTATATATAAATACATATACGGAGAGTAATAATAAAATATATGTTATAATGTTAAAAAACGAACGAAGATACAATTTATGTCAGCAATTATTAATAATCTGCTCCTTATTAACATTTACATATGCAATTGTATTCATATTATGGGGTGTAGGATGCCTTTTACATATTGTACTTACAATTAGCGAGCGGAGATCTCATTATTGGCAAACCTTTGTAAAAGACTAATTTATAAGAACTCTGTTCGTCTATTGTACAAACAATTGGATTTGCGCAAATATTCCGCAGATCTATCTAATTGCAATGAAGATCTCCTGTCATTAAATTTCTATATTATATAAATAAAGCTGAATAAACCTCTGGGGAAAGTATCGTATTGGTTTGTACTTGTTTAATCAATGAATACCTAATCTACGAATACTTGTTTTAAACAAGATTTATATAAGATTTCCCCCAATATCAAACAATAATTTTAGCATATGATAGCTGCAGCACATTATATTTCAGGATTATTTTCATTATAAAGTTTATAACTGTGTCAAAATAAGTTAAAATGATGTAATGATTAATTTAATATTAATTTAATATTCGAGAAAAATATATTTTTTTAAATTATATATAATATACAATATAACTATAATATACAATTTATATAGATTTGTATATAAATATACATTTATATAAAAATCTATATAAATTTACATTTATGAAATTACACACATTTTTATTAGATACGTATAAGATATTAAATATAAAATAAATAAATAAATATCACAAATAAGTATATACAAAGAATATTAATAAAAATATATTTTTCCATATTTCTGCATACCTCATTTTCACTTCATTTATCACTTTATTACGATATATTTTTCTTTAATTATATATACAAGTTTTAGTAGATATTGCATCAAAGAAGTAAAATGAAACAAGATATCAGAACACATAGTTATACATCATAATTATACATACCGATGAGCTGAGAAAGAAAAATATATCTCTCTATCTGTCGATCTTCTTTAAATATGTTTAAATGCATGCTAGCGTGCCCCTCCATTATTATAGGCTTTCCAAAATTCACTTGGTCTGTTCGTTTTAGCTGCACTGCTGCACTAGTGCAATAAGTTAGAAAGAGACAAACATACTTTCTTTCACTCTAACTAATTGCACAAATGCAGCAGTGCAGCTAAAACGAACAGACCCACTGCCACTAATGAAAATCTATAGTTTACGTACACTATAGATTTTCAATACTGGCAGTGAATTTTGGAACACAGTCATAAATGCTAGGTTAGATATTGCTAGTGTATAAAAATATACACCAATCACGAATAGTGCAATTATAGTTCATAGCCACGTGTATGTTTAATTTGTACGGATTCATTACGATATAAGTTTCTAATTTTCATTATGAAAATTAATATTCTCTGTTTATTTATTGCTCGTTCGTCCATATATTCTATATTTATCTCGATACATCGCATGGGCTCCGTTCAAAAGAAAAAGCTGCTTTGCAACTGTGTAAAATTCGTGAATCTGATTGGTGTATACTCTTAGATTCAGCCATAAAAATTAAGAGCATACACTAATCAGGCTCACGAATTTTACACAGTTGTAAAGCAGCTTTTTCCGTTGAATGCAGCCATTCTGTTGCTAAGAAACTCGTATTGTTCTAGATCTCTCTTTTATCAAGTAAAATGACGTCGGAATCGTGGTTGAAAATAATTCAAAATGCCAAAATTACTGTTCTTATTGAAGATGGTAAGAATAATTAAATACAATCACGATTATTATTCCATAATTCTTTTGTTTTTGCTACATGTGCAGTTTTGTATTTAGAGATATCTGCTTACAACCTCTAAATGTTTAGTCATATTGTACATATATGTAATTATACAAGAGAATCATAAGATTTATTCATAATATTTTAATAAAGACATTTTCTTTATTACGTATCTATATATCATGTCAAAGCACTATTAAATTTTTTTAATTGTTCTATTAGTTCCTTGATAAATTTTTTTTTCAAAGTGATATATGTATCATAATCTCAAATTCATATCAAATTATTATTATTATTAATATCTTGTGTAATATGTCAAATTATACTTCTAATTAAATAGATGTTTTAACATTAAAATATTAAAAATTAAATTTTGCACAATGTTTATAATAAATGCAATGTATATGCTCGATAAATACAAACAATTTACTGATTTTTAATTATGTTTAATGTAGGAAAAAGAAAAGTTCATTTTTTATTCGAAAATGGGAAAGAAATGGTAGAAGAATATAACATGGATACAAATGTAGTGGTACGAAGACTATGGAAAAAGAAAAATAATTTTGGTACAGACATTGGTTGGATCGTAGAAATTGGAGAGCCTGAACCAAAAGAAAATAATATCGAAAAGGATGGAATACAAGAAAGTTCAAATACTGTATGTTATTTTCTTACTATAAGAAACTTACTATGAAACTATTTAAATATAATTTAATTAATTAAAACTTGAAGTATGTTAAGCAGATAATTATAATGCATGTATGAATTATATTATCTAAGTAATATATTAGATATTTTCGAAGTAAAGTATTTTTAAATTGTTGCAGCCATTTGTTACACAAAGAATTACAAAAACATGCCTGGAGTGGCGGATCAGAAATTTACCGTATCCTAGTAATGTATATTCTGTTACTGCAGAAGAAGATAATACTATAACTGTACGCACGAGTAACAAAAAGTACTTCAAAAAGTTAAAAGTTCTAGATCTAGAGCGAATTGGGTTAAAGCCAGAGCAGGAAAGGATATCATTTAAGCATCAATATAATACTTTAATTATAACGGTATGAAAAATGCTTCTTTACATACATATTTTGCTATATATTTTTACTATTATTTTTACTTATTTTTTTTTCATTTATTTTAGTATAAAAAGCCTCTCGAACTTCTCAATGTGGAGAAAAAAATATTATCCAGGATTTTACAGTTTAAACCCATAGAATCTACAAATCAATGTCCAGTCAGTTAAGAAAAAGTATTATTATTAAATTCCTTACTTGTGATCTAAATTATGCATTTCAAATTTGCAATAATTTTGCAGTATTATTAAGATATTCTTTTTGTATATATTCAAAGCTTATGAAATGTATAATTACAATAATGCTTATCACTTAAATTTCGTCTCTTAAAAAATAATATTTTCCTAACAACACATGTCCAAAAGATGTCCAGAGATCATCGAGAGGACATCCAGAGGACATAAAATATTCTTTGGCTGTCCTCTAGATATTCTATGGACGTCTTTTAGACATGCTGTGTTGTTAGGGTTCTTAAGATTTGTGTCGTTCTAATAAAAGTTAATAAAAGTTCATAAATAAAAATAGTAGTATAACTATTGATAGATTTTTTTCAAATACATTTTTTAATGTATAAAAATTAAATTACTTGAAAAAATTATCACTTTAGTATTATTTTTTAATTTACAATTTATAATTTTGTATATTTGAACACATGGGTGATATATATGTAATATAAGTTCTGAAGTGAAAAATAATTTGTGTTACGCAATAATAAAGTAGTAAATCTTTGAGTTATAAAAATTTCCAAAAGAGCCCATATGCAAGATATTTAGTTAACAATACTTGAAATTACTTACTTTAACGATATTTTAACCTGTAGTCCCTGTGTTGCGCAGAGTTTTCTTTATAAAATTATCACACGTTTATCGACGCGATATATTATTAAATTTACGCGTAATATTGCAATTGTTCAATATTTTTTTTCGGCATTTCCGATAACACGCGAGATTATTTATAGGCAATATTTATTCTCACAGCAACTTCCATAACTCGAATATGATTGGAGACGAATAATTTCGTTGTGTTTGTAATATTTTACCGTAATATAATTGTAATTGCAGCGATCACAATATTAATTATGACGATGATATTAATTACAGCGATTTATTTCGTTCTTTCGACACTCACGAACTGTTCGAACGCGATTAAATTTGCAAGCGTTTTGATGGGACCGATAAAAATGGCGCGTAAAACCAACTTGCAAATTCCGTTAAAACTGATCCGATTCCGAGCTTCCAATACAATACAAACTCGGAATCTCAGAATCGAACCACGGTGTTCTAGCGGAATCGGAAATTGAAATGTTTAGTGACTTTCGTCTTCGTTCACACCGTTTCGCGCGTATTTATTTATAGCATCGGGACACGGGACGTTTGATATAATCACGATCGAATATCGTGAATATCAAGAGAATAATTTGTTGACCGCTATAATTAATCGAGTCGTTGATATCGCGCGCGAAAATCGATCTATCGAACTGCGTCGTCGAGTCCGCGCGTCTGCCGCTGCTGCTGCTCACTCGCGTATGTGTGTGTGTGTGTGTGTGTACTGTGTGATGGCGGTATTGCGTTTCAGTATTATGCCATTGCTTTCGCGGGAAGATTTTTGAGTGTGCGGCAAATATGACGAATTCGGTGCCGGACAGGTAAGCAATTTTCCATTTACTATATAATAAAGATCGCCGAATGTCTCGCAGTAGTCAAAGTAGCTCGTAAATGCGATCGTAAATGTAGTCACATTGAGAGAGGTTATGTTTTGCCGATTTTCTTTACATTCGAAACACATCCTGCGGTAGCATCATTGGTAAAGCAATCGTACGTGATTGTTAATCCGGGAATTAAAGCGCGCTTTTCATGTGTCAAATATGTCAGTAGAGCTATAAAGTAAGATTCTGTGGAAATTCTGACGCTATCCTCGGGACAGCTGACTAACCGATTGAGTATGAATGTCTCGTGTAGTTTCCCGCCGTTTCTCACAGATGGCATTTTGCACTTTAAACCGTTGAGAATTTTGAATTATTGTTAGTCATTATTTTTTTAGCGCGCGCGAATGTCGATCTTTAATCGGGCATCGCGAGTTTTTGATATGTATGTAATAATTATATCGCATCGAGTGTCTAGTTTTCATAATAAGATAGCATTAGAGAAGCTGGATTAGAAAGAATGTAAGATATTGCCTTTCCGGAAATTAAGGATATGTAATTATAGTAAAAATTCGGTATGCATTCAAATTTTCTAATTAAGAGGATAGAATGTAAATGAAAAGAAAAAAATCAGAACTTGCAGGAATTAATAACATCGTATATATTAATGTTAAATAAATAAACTATTCGATAAAAAGTATTTTGTAATTTTTAATTATTATAATTTCTATATTTGCAGGTGGCTGGAGTACAAACCTTTTGGTAATGTGATCAAGGGTACTAATATCTTAGCATTCAAAGTTCCATTGAAAGACGTGAGTATCTCTGTAAATAATTCATTAATTTTAATTATATTACATATTTTTTAATGGATTGAATACAATGACGGCATATAAAAATTGACAACGTTGAATATTGATGAAATAATTAGAATAACAATTTTTATTTAGTTTGTGTTATACTTTAGCATACAAATATAAAAGAAAGTATTTTTCTAAATTGAAATAAAGAATAAAATACAAAAATTATGTAAATTTAACAAACATTGCAACATGACATAAATATTTTGTAATTTTTACATGCGGAGAACACTGATGAGATTCCATGTGTTGTTAATGTAAAATTAAAAGATATTTATAACTGAATTAATAATTGTTATGTCATCTGAATTAATAATTGTTATGTCATCTGAATTAATAATTGTTGTATCCATATATTAAAAATATGTATTCAAGATAAAATATATATATATATATATATCGATTTCTTTCTTTTATAAGTGTATTCTTTATAGCCTACTTAAGCTTTAAATTTTTGATAATGTAAATAAGTTATGTTTAATGAATAGATATGAAAGAGAGAGAGTAACTTATTAGATAATTAAAATATACATGTTTTAATGGAATTAAAAAATTAGAAAACTGATAGAAAATAACATAAAAAAATACATTTAGGCCATATTGAATTCTAGACCATATTGGATATGCAGTTCCTTATTATATAATATATACAATTATATATAATTAAATACTAATTAATAATATAATTAAATAATAATAATATATCTTATATATATTATATAATATATATAATATAAATATATGTATATATAATAATTGAATATTATTCTATTAAGAAAATTTTTAAAAACGCGCGATGTTGTCGCGGAATTCACGTTCAGCTGCAGTTCGCTGAAACAGGATGCCCTTTTTGTCTACCGCCCTTCCATTTCTCCCTCATTCCCCTCTCTTTCATCTTTCCCTTTACACTAAATCAAAGATTCTCTTCGCGGGGGTCGGGGCGACCGCACGGCAGATAAGATCGCGTTGGATTCTCGAAATGAACGACGGGCGCGCAGGTACACGCGTCGTCGCTACGATACATGCACGCGTGTGTAGGTGCGTTGCACGCACGCAGGCTCGTGGGATCGTGGCACGGGTCCCTCCGTTAAATCGATGCGGCGTCGGTGAGCCGAAGCCGGAGGAAAAGAGAAGTGGAAGCGGGAGAGCCGCGCGTCTATTCGTCTACTCCGGGGTGCAAGGAGGGTGGGAAGGCAACGTCGTCGCCGTGAGATCTCGTATCGGTCGCCGCCAAATTGCCGTATTGTTGCGCGCGCGATGACCCTCCCTGTAGATATAAACAAACATGATATATGTGCGTGCCCCCCTCCCCCCTTTCTCGCATGCTATCGTAGATTCTTGCAGACCGTCTCACCGATCCTCCCCTTCTCGTCCTCCTAGTAGTTTTCGATTAGTATGTGAAACATATATTCTAATTTGTCAGCCGCTGTGCATTATAACACGCGCGCTGATTGATATAGACGCATTCATGCTGTGATTCATCGCTTATTGAGAATTACAGATGGAGCGTATAATATTGAAATTCTTTATTTCATCTCGTGTATCTCATCAATTATTGTACAAATGATATTATAAGGCCACATCAATTTCTGCTTTTTAATGTTTATTTTTTTAAATATATGCTCTCATTCTTTATTTTCATTGAAGATTATCAAATAATCATTGTTATAATAATTATAAAAAGAAATATGAAAATATAAAAAAAGATATTGGCTTATTATTATTTCTCAAGTTGTTTTTACATGTATATTTTAATATTACTTGAGAGAAATTATTTTAATATATTTATCGGTCAATCTATATTATTCTCTTTTGATTTATATTATAATCTCATTTGCGAGCGTAATCACACAATGAGCATTTGCATATGATAAATTCGTCTCGAAAAAAGAACAAGTCATTTTGCATAAATATGAAAATATTGGTGCCTAATAGGCGCACCGCAACATTTTTATTACCAAAATAATAAGTCGAGATCAGTCATTTCCTGGTTATCGACCTAAGGATCGCGCATACGCCACGTTGCATATGCTAATTATGGGCGGCGCATGGTCTCTTAATTGACGGCAACGGTGCCCAGGCTTCACGGGATATAAAACATTTTTATATATCTTCGATTCCGCGTTGAGATTTCATTAAAATACATAACGATAGTCCGTTTAATTGACCGCACTGTTTGCTACGATGGTGCGCTTCTGATTGATTCGTCGCATCTCTCCGCTTATAAAAATCTCATGCCGTTGCGTTGTTTATTCTCATTGAAGATATAATTAAATGAACCACTTTTTATGGCAATTATAGTAATAATGGTAATTTGTGTGTTACTCAACGTTGAATAGTTATCAAGTAATATATCATAACGATTATTTATGATGATAGTTTTGATTTTTTTTTCCCAAGAAAAAATCGCAGCTTTTTATTTCATTTCTTTGCCGATAATATTATTTATTTTACATGCACATGTAATGCATAATATGCAATACAATATTTTTTATCATATTTTTAAAATAAAAATATATATGTATAAAAATGTGTTTAGATCTAATAAAAATATCTTTCTTTTATTCTTAAAGATAAATTTAAGACCTGTTAACGTTAAATAATTTTAATCGTTCGGTTATGGGAGATGATTTTGGCGCCATCCGTTATCCAGCCGCAATATTCGTTGAGTCTTTACAAGTCGGTCGTGTCAAAAATCCGCGGGATCTGAGCGAAAGAATTAGCGATCCTAATTCGCCACACGGTCGGAGGTGAACAGCAACAATCTGTGATCCTCGTTTGTCCCGAGCTATTTAATTTCCGCCTAACTCGCGGCCGGAACCGGTTTTTTCCGTCCATCGGCCGTTCTAACGCACGCAGGACAGTTGCAAATAAGTTTCGGCTCGTCGGGATCGCCCGCTATGCATATACGTTGCGTATGCATACGCAAAATAGGAGAGTGCCATAGCTAATTGATTCTGGCATCGCGTGCATTACATAAAACAAGTCGAAGTTAGGGCTCCGAATTGGACCCACAACTGATTGGGCGGCGGCGGCGGTGACCGCGGGGGGCCACTTGTTAATAGGGCCCTCAAAGGGCCAGCACCCATTCTTGGGCTGCCTGGGCTCGCGCACGGCGAACGCTTCTTCATCATCTATAAGAACTTGTAACAAATATCGGCTCACACGAAACGTGATACGCTCTTCGCCGACGCCTCACAGTAGGTTTTCTATCTTGCTCTTCTTCTTCTTGGTGTGCCCGACGAATTTAAAATTGTGTTAGTCATATAATCTCGACACGATGTATTTCTTAGCAAATTTTTTTTGTCGATGATGAATTATATACAAGCGGAAAGTGAATAGACATAACTTGTGTGAAATATTTTAGATTTATTTCTATTCTATTTATCATTTCGAGACTTAATATTTTTGCAATAATTTTATTTTAAAATTTTACATGTTGCTCTTTATATATTGCGTTTGCATTTCCTTGTTTAATGTAATAATAAATATATGATTTAAAATAAAAATTAAGAAAGAAAAATAAATATTTTTTGCAATATTGACTTTTATATAAGTCTAATTTTTTAACACATTTATTTAATTAAATCTCTAGAATCTCTGGTATACATATATACCACGCATATACTTTCATTAAATAGTCAGGATATGGGATAGATAGTTATCAAGTTTCTTGAGCGATAGGGATGTCAAATATGGAATTCGACCGCCTATCTCGACAGATTTTTTCTTTTTTTTTTCTTTTTTTTTTTTTAGAACTGCTGCGGCAATGTGGGCGATTTCTGCACGGTGGTAGAATATTAATTCGTGTCCAGAAGTTAAGATAGGGCATGCTAAATAACATCTCTCGTGGTGGGTGATATCTATATTTCAATCCTCAAAAATCCTGAATATTGAGATTGTTATCGCGTGAACTTCTCAGTTACACACTCTTAAAAGCGAACACATAAGCAACCGTTCCTCGAGAATAAGATGAAGAGCGGAGAGATTGATCATTTTGTGTTTTAAATTTGCTTAAAATTTTTTGAAAGATTGTCTTCTTCCAAAGATATATTATAAAAAATGTAGCATTTTAATTTACGCAGTGAAATTTATTCGCATCTCATCTTCTCTATCTACAATTTAAATTAGCAAGTTGTGTATTTTTCAAAATATTATGGTGTCGAAATTATATCTACAAAACTATTATATAATATTGCATAAAATATAACTGTTTTTAATTATTTATGACATAAAATATAAGTTTAATCTTATTTTGATTGAAATAATTAGCAGGAATATAAAATAATTTTTTAAAAGAGATATATGTATTTGGTTTCTGTTTGATATAAGAAGAGAAAAGAAAAAAAATTCTACTTTTTAACATGAAAAATAACTTTTTCTCGATATATTAAATACAATATATTAATGTACTTAGCTAAACATCTCGATGCGTCTGATTAATCCCGTGATAACTTAAGAATGCAGAATATCTTTTTTCCGGACGGCCTCTCATTCATTTCTAATTTTTACCTATCGAGAAAAGCATCGCAAGTGAGGAAAAGAGCATCATGTCGATCCAAATCGTTCCTGTGATTTTTGAAATGGTAACGTTTCGCGAAGGTATTGTATCGATTCGTTGTCCGCCGATGCTGCAATCATTATTCACGGCTGCCATACGTGACGTTTTTGCTAGCATACCATGTGTGGGATTAGCCGCAAACATTTTTTCACGTATGATTTATGAGCGAAATTCTCGCGAACTTCATCACTCGTGCAACGTATTCGTGTCACGGTCCTCCACGTCCTTCTGACTGATTCTCTCGTCTCCTTTTTTCACGATGAAACGTAACGGCGATAGCGATCGGTTTGGTCACTGTCGGAAATAATAAACGGCACTATTGTGCCTTGTCGCAGACGCTAATCTCGCGAGTAAATAGCCGCTTTCGTAATCGGTGATTCTTATAATTTCGCAC